GTTTCCAGTGACCTAGAGTAAATACCACCTGTCACCTTTCTGGTTGTCAGTTTCCTGATAAACAGAAGTCTGAATGAAATGTGCTGTGCTAGGCTAGCAATCTACTGTTCTGTGTTTGGCACCCTCAGTATCCTGTACTTCCTGTAGGTGAATCTCTCACAAAGAAAAAGATTAGAGTGTGGTGAATGTCCCTTCCCCACCATCACTGCCAAAGGAACTTGAACCCCATTGGTCCTGAGCCAAATTTAAGTATGTCTGCTTGACTCCATGACACCAGTCATAATAGGTAATAAAGTTCTAAATTCATTAATTCTAATCCTAGACAGGAAAGGAGGCAAGGAGAAAGGTTTCTGTTTCTTGTGTTCACACAGACTTCCAGCAGACTATGAACATTCACAAGTTAAAACATAGGGAGATGCTGTCTCACAGTAACCACAATCCACCAGCGTCGAGAGAACAAGACATCAGATGATGTCTTTTTTCAGAGTGCAGTGTTTCCTACCTATATGTCTCTCATGTCTGTGAGCTGTATGCAAGCATCCAACCTTTAATCTGGAAACTCCTCTGAGACAGCAGTCTCAGCTCAATGCCTGGGTGCTTCCCACTCCCCCGGGTGTAGCTCCTCAGCACCGGTGCTTTTAGAATGCAGCATCCTGTCATAGTAGGTCTACAAGGCAGGCCTGAGCACTAAATCATCAACTCTGCTGTCTGATTAAGTGAGTAATACCCTTCTCAAAGACCCATAAAAATCCTTTCCTTTGCATCACAGATCATGTTTTACTTTAAGCTGTTCAAAAGATTCATTACTTAAAACATTAGCTTGGGGGAAAGATCTGGAAAACAAGTGACAAGACTTTGGTCACATACTGCCCCTCCTCCAAGAAAATGAAAGCAGAAATGGTTTTTACAAAGTTAGAACTGAACCATGTCCTACTCTGTCCATGCCCCCATTGTACCCAGTGAACAGGATAACTGTGGTGGAGAGGCCTCATGTACCTTAATTATTTCCCACGGCCTTTTTGAGCTTTCTTAATGACCTACAACAGGGATGGACAGCTTGAATAATTGCCCTGCAGTGAGACAGGTCATCTCTTCAACAGTTTGCACGTGCTCCTTTTACGAGGAGCAAAGTGGGAGCCTATAATAGTTGAATCAATACTGTTGACTGTAAGAAGAACAGCAACACCAGCACCAGAGAACTTACACATGCAAATTATCAGATTAATCAAGAATTCTATAGGTACAGTTCAGATAAAACTCTGACAGTTACTGCTCTCAGCTTCAAGAACTCCAGAGAGTATTGCTGTGCTTCAGGACCTAAGAACTGCAAAAGGTGTCGTTGCAGTATATAGCCACATGGTGGCAGCACGCATCTACTATACTGACATCCGGCGGTGATGCATGCTGTGATGGTATTTACAATGGAGGGGACTCTGCTCCGAAATTGTTGGACTCTTGAAAATTCAGGTAAAAGTTTTTGCTGGTACAAATAAGTTTGACACAAACAAGTCATCTAAGAGAAAAGGCCCTCTCCACCAACCACACGTTTAACAACGGCTCTTCCTCCTACCCGTGGCTAAGCAAGTCACTGCATCCAGGGAACAAACATAGGAGTTCATGGGACCATGGGAAGAACTGCATTCCCGGGAAGGCTGACTCCAGGTGAAAAGCTGAAGGATTGACAGTTCACTCCGGCCTTATCGCCATCTGAGCCTCTCTCCACTGAAACTCAATAAGCTCTGATGAAGAAGGCGTGGTGGCCCTTACAACCCTCTCCCATCGTTACTCTTTCCTATTTCTTGTCTGCCTAGGTCCCACAGAAGAGAAGAAATGCTTCTGGTTTTGTTTTAATTCTCTGATCACCCAGATGTTTTAAAAAGAGCAAAACATTCTGTTCCAGATTGGTATACATAGGAGCGAGATTTATTTCAGGTAAAAAGACAGTTTAATAATGCTGGCCACTGCAATCGGGGTTTGTTCTGAATCCCAACCAAAGAGAGTTCTTCCCTATAGGTTAGCCTATAGGTTTCTAGAGAGGGTGGGTGACCTAAGGTAATATATGACTTTGCTACAACTCATATATTACTTGGGTTGCTTTACTCCAGAAGTCAGGGAGGCAGAGAATATAAGGACCAGGGCTATAACTCAGTACTACTTGGGGCTCATAAAGCAGGTGTTGCCATTGCTGAAGCAGAATGATAGAGAGAAGGGGGCCTGGAGCTGCAGGGAAGTGTGACTAGATCACTCCAATATTGCTAAATCTTGTCTCTTATTTTCTTTCAGTTTCTTATATATATATATAATGTACTTTGAATTCATTTCCTTCCATTATCCCCTCTTAAACCCCCTCAGACCAAATAATTTTCTTCTTTTTTCAGGTCTTTTTTATTTATTTACTTATTTAATGTATATGAGCATTTTGTCTGCTTACATGTCTGTGTATCACATGCTTGCCTGATGCTGGGAGAGGCCAAAAAAAGGTATCAGACTGGAGTTACAGTCATGAACCACCACCATTTTGGTACTAGGAATCAAATCCAAGTCCTCTGGAAGAGCTATCTCTTTCGCTGTCATGTCTTTTTCATGTGTGCATAGTTTATCACATTTAATTAAGGTTACTTGCATGAACACAGGTAGGGGCTTGAACAAGGATAACTTACCAGTGGCTACAGCATTATAGAATGTGACTCCCCTCCTTTATCAACCGTTAGAGGCCTATAACTCCTCAGGGCAGGGTGGGATCTCCTGCAGGTCTTATTCAAGGAACTACCATTGCTGTGGTTTTCTGAGTGCAGCAGCCATGTGATATCCAGAAAAAGAGAATTTCACAGCATTCCCTCCCGGTCTCTGGCTCTTAGATTCTTTCTGTCTCTGCATTGTCCCCGAGCCTTAGAGGAAGGAAATCTAGTCTCTCATAAAGCTGCAGCATCTTAACATGCCGGGCCACTATCTAACCAAACGTCATCACACAAAGTACAAATACAATGAAAGCTCCATGCCTGTATCACTAGTGTCTACAACATCCAGGCTTCTTAACTGAAAGCCGAAGGTTTGGTAAATGACAGAAAACAAGTTCCTTTCGCTGAGTCATCATTAAGGCCCTGTTTGCATTCTGAACCATAGAATTTCAACATCCTCTGCACTAATGATTAGACTGCAGATATGTTTCCTGTCACTTTTACTTGCCTTCTCTCATCTTACTGTCTCTTCCACAAGTCCCAAGGTTTTTGATCCCAGGCAAGGGTTTTTTTTTTTTAAACCACAGATCTAATTTGTTCTCTTTCCTCAAGGCCTGACAGCCAAAAATGTTAGCATGACTGCACAATATGCCTATTTTATCATCTGTCCATTTCCACTTTTTCCTGCCAATCAGAGGTCAAATGTGGAACATATCATCTACATGTGTTTTTTACATTATAATTCCTTCCTTATATGGGTAAGTTCTTTCAAGACAGATAGACCAACCTCAGATTCTAGTCCTAACACACAGTAGGCTCCAAGTGACAGAAGTCATAGCCTGACCACAATCCTGACCCATGTTTGTTACTTTCAGGAATGATAACTGCGGTGGTTTAGATGAGAACGGCCCCCATATGCTCAGATGTTTGGATATTTAGTCTCCACTTGGTGAAACTACTTCGGAAGGGGTAGGAAGTGTGGCCTTGTTGAAGGTGTGTCACTGGGGGCAGGATTCAAATTTCCAGATCACTGAAGAAGTGGAAGGGGATGGAGACAAGTTTTTTGTGGACAATTACTCACTAAGATGTATAGCAAGAGTAAAGAGTGAACCAAACACAATATATTCAAGAATAAAGAAGAGCTGAAGGGATGGAGAGGTTAACAGCAAACACGAGTGGTAGCCAGCAATAAAAGCTAATGTCCAGTTGAGGATGAGATTGATATGAGGAACAACACCAGTAATCCCAGCACTCAGCAGCCCGGGCTATATATTAAAACGCTGTTCCTTTTTTCAAACTAAAAAAAATTAATTAAATCTGTAGTGTCCCCCTAGATTACAGCTGCTTTATAGACATGACAGACTTGCTGTGGGTTAGCAGGTCAATCAATGAATAAGTAGAAATAACAGGAAGAGGAAATTATGCTGCCTCGAGCCTCCACAGCATGCCAGAGACACAGTACCCTGAAGGGATAGTCTCTCCAGGATTTCCCCTACATCACCTTGGGGAATGTCTCTCTGAACACCTCCATGGAAAGTGCTAATTATGGAGTGGGACACAGATTCCCCAGCGCTGAATCCCCTCTTTTAAGGAGCAGGGAAAGTAAGTGCTTGTTTCTTCACTAGTGAGAGAAAGTTCAGTACCCTTCATTTTTCTCTCTCCCCTTAGATCTTAAAGGAATATTTTTGGTGCAATCGCCAGCTAAGGTTAATTGGCTACCATAAGTGTTTGACCTGTTTGTGCCCGTTACAGTACTCTCCAGCAACAGCCTGCCACTCCTGCCTCTAAACCCCAGTTCCACAAACTTAGGCATCTTTTTTTCCAAACCATCAGTTCATTCCTCTGCTGAACAGGATGGCACCCACCCCTTGTCTTCATTCTGAGGCAACCAGCTCTAATCTCAGGTACTCATTCCAGCCACTGATACATCAAATATTTGGATCTTTTGTTAATCTTTTCTTTTTTCCTTTTTATTTTTTTCTTTATTATTTTTTTTTCTGTTTTTCGGGACAGGGTTTCTCTGTCATGTTTTGGGGCCTGTCCTAGAACTCGCTCTGTAGACCAGGCTGGCCTTAAACTCACAGAGATCTGCCTGCCTCTGCCTCTGAGTGTTCGCCACTAACACCCGTCAGATGTGTAGCCCAGGCTGGCCTTGTGATCCTCCTGCCTCTGCCTCCTTCAGCAAGTCCTACCAGCATGCACCACCACAATTGGCTCTTTTATTAATCTTTCCCTCTATCATTTCAAACCCAGGGAATCCAGAGCATAAAAGCAAGACACCAGCATAAATTCCAGGTCTAAAAACAGGGTCAGATGTTAGACATGAAGGTAAGTTTGTTACGTTACTCTAAGAATAAGTGGTTTCACAGAGTCACATTCTAAAAAGTCAAGGTTTAAAGATACATTATACTATTCACAACAGATCTGCCTTCTGAAAAATTATCAATGTGTGTGTGTGTTAGAATTGTGTTCTTGGGGATTTGTGCACAACATAAATATTGTATGTGAAATTCTATTAGTGTGCACCTGTTTTTACATGGTGGCATGCCTGAAAGTAAATATTTTAGGACTTGCCTAGCTGTGCTGGTACATGGTTATGAAATCACAATACTGAAGAATTTGACCTTTTGTAATTCAACACCTCTAGTCACCATTACCTCACAAACTTAAATGCTATTTCTTATATTTTATCCATGTTCAGTTCAGCCCCAATGCTGTAAAGTTGTCTAGAAATAAAGATCAAGCTTTTTATGTCCTTTTATCTTACATGGTCTGGCATAATATAGCCTGTAAAGCTGAAGCCCTTGGAGTTAGTCAGGTTGAATCAAAATCTTACAAATCATTTCCAGTGTGGACACATTTAATTTTGATCCCCTCCCTACTCTGCTCTGTAAAATAAGACTATTGCCTAATTTCTAATCAAGGAAATATTAAAGTTAACATATGAGAGGAAATGGAGTTTTACATCAGTTTCCCGGAGCAGGGGTGATCCAGCAACACACGAGTGTAATCTCAGCACTCAGGAGGCGGAAGCAGGACAATTGTGAGTTAGAGGCCAGCTTAGTCCAGGGATACATATTCAACATGCATGAGGCCCAACACCAAAAAATATCAAACAATGAAACAAAAGTTTGTATGCTGGTAAAAGACTGGGGTGACAACAATTACCACTCACCTACTGTGTGTCAGACACTGTTTAAGGCACTGTGTATTTAACTCCTGTTACACACTTATGTTTCCAGGGGTACACAGTTATCATCTAGGAAGCAGCAGAGTCAAAACTCAAACCTTAGGAGTCTGGGTCTTGAACCTTGTTCTTAGTCACATGAAAACTTATCCTGCCTGGCAAAGATAAGTAAACTGTTTTATTGGTGAGGGATTACTTCCTAGGAAAAAAGTATTTAAAAAACCTGTGATTGATAGATGATGCATCAGGATCAACTGGGGATGTGGGATGCAAGCCACATCGTACAGGTGAAGGCCAGAGGCAGCTTAAAGAAGTCAGTTCTCTCCCACTATTTGTGTCTCCAGGATGAAACTCAGGCCATCAGCCACCAAGTGCCTCTACCTGGTGTGCCATCTTGCCAGCCAAGAGGATTCTGGCTTTCTTTTTTATATTAAAAACAGTGTGATTATAAGTTGTGTCTATGATAATATCTGTCAGGGAACATGCATAGAAAAATTTCTGTGTAAATTTTATCCATTCTATCAGCCATGATGGTTTCCATGCCACCAGGTATTGGATTCAGCATCAGTACCTAGGCCATGAAAATGAGGTTCTTATATATATATATATATATATATATATATATATATATATATATATAAACTAAGTCCATTTAAATGAAAACAAACATTTATAGACAATATTTGGGAATTTGGGCGTCGTTCTTTCCAAACTACTTCCTGCTGGTAAGGGGCACTGTCATGGGGGATTCGAAGAAGATTCAGAAATCCTGGCTGTAGTCTGTAAGGCTGCTTTGTCCAGCTGTTTTGAATGTAGGATCACCTGGTACTCTGTTTCAGGTGGTCTAGCTTGATCAAACCACATTAGTCTGGAAGGAATCCACATCTTTTCAGAAAATGAGGCTCTTGTCTCTTTCATTTCTATTCAATTTGTTTGAGAAATGATTGATAGGAAAGCCCAGGATAGACCCAAGAAATCATTCACTTCAACCTCCCCCACTTACACATGACAAAATTGAGGCAAGATGACATAAAGTGAATTCTATAACCCAAATAGCCAACTAAAGTTGTCTGTGCTTGCTAGAACTAAGGTCTTCTCATTTACACTGACAGGAAATTATCTTGTCCAAGCTAGTCTATGGTGACCCTGAGTACTACACTTACAGCAGGAAACCCTATGCTCTACAAATCACCTCCACAGATTAGACAACAATATAATGGATTTTTTTTTAAAAAAAATGGATTCTTGGAGTCAGATTATAGCTCAGTAGTGAGCATATGCTTAATGTTCACAAGGCCCCTGATTGAATCCTCAGTTCAAAGGGAAGAAAACTGAAGCACAACAAACTTTTAAAGAGTTTATTATTTGAGCAAACAGTTGCTCCTGAGTCAGGTGGAAATGGTTTAGTGAACCACAATGGGAAAACAAAGGGAACATTTTTGTAGGATGAACATAGAGGTAAAACAAAGAAACATTTACTTGGAGGCTGGACATGGTGGCACATGCTTATAACCCCAGCATTCTGGAGGTAGACACAGACAGTCAGGAGTTCTAGATAATCCTCTGCTACAAATAGAACTGAAAGCCAACTTTCATGAGACCCTGTTGAAAGGATGGGAGGGATGGGGGGAGTGGGCAGGGAAAGAAGAAAGGAAACAGAGGCAGTCAGGGACAAAAAAAAAAAACAGGGGGGAGGACAAAAGGAGGCAGGGAAGAACGAAGAAAGGGAGGGGAGGAGGATAAGAAAAAGAAAATATTTGATGGTTACCAAATGGTCATATTTGGTTTATTCAAGTGAAAAGTCTTTAGCTACATATCTTTGTCAGCTGCTCCTAAGTGATTGAGATTACATTCTGTTTTTATATAATACAAACATTTACAAGAAGTACTTCCACTCTGGTTTGCACATGGAGCTGAGTTAAGGCCACCTGTGAAGCTTGACTGGCTTGTCTACTCAGGGCTCTCCTAGCTTCAACTTCAACTGTTCATAAACAACAACAACAAATGGCAATGCTGCTCCATCTAGTCTCCTAGCTGCTCTTGGTAGATACACTGAATTTCTTTAATTCCTGGAAGTGCAGCCAGAGCCAGGGAGGAGGACCTGATTAGCGATGGACTTATGACAACCTGATTTTCTAAATACTCAACTGGCCCTCTGTTGAATATAGGCATTGTTTCCCTTGAAGGAGCTTGGCATGTGGCTATGTGATGAAACTAAAATTTGGGCATTGGCTTTCCACTCTTGCTCAGTTTATCCCACTGTGGGGATTCTTGTTTTTTCACAGATAGAGATAAGACAGGGTCTCAATGTGTAGCTATGACTGACCTGAAACTCTCTGTGTAGACCAGCTGACCTGGAACTCACTACGTAGACCAGGCTGGCCTCTGCCTGTACTAAGCCCACTAGCTAGCATTAAACTTCTTTGTCTTATCCTTCCGAACCTTCTTGGAGTTTCCTCTTAGGCTAACCACAGTTCAGCAGAGCGCTTCCTGTTGCTGGGTTTCACCGACTGGCCCTTACTGCAACCGGTCCTCTTCGCGCTGGTCCTTCTTTGCTACCTACTAACGCTGACCGGCAACGCGGCGTTGGTGATGCTGGCCATTCGCGACCCTCGCCTACACACACCCATGTACTACTTCCTCTGTCACTTGGCCTTGGTGGATGTTGGCTTCACCACCAGTGTGGTACCGCCGCTGCTGGCCAGCCTGTGCGGCCCGGTGCTGCAGGTACCTCGGGGCGGGTGCATGGCGCAGCTGTGCGCATCTCTGGCCCTGGGCTCCGCAGAGTGCGTGCTGCTGGCGGTTATGGCGCTAGATCGCGCCGCTGCGGTATGTCGCCCTCTGCGCTACGCCGCTCTTGCCTCACCACGCTTGTGCCGCGCTCTGGCCAGCGCCTCCTGGCTTGGTGGTCTGGCCAATTCAGCTGCGCAGACCGCCTTGCTGGCCGCGCGTCCGCTGTGCGCGGCCCGCCGTCTGGACCACTTCATTTGTGAACTGCCCGCGCTGCTACAGCTAGCCTGCCGCGGTGGCCGCAGCGCCACCGAGCGCCAGATGTTCGCCGCGCGGGTGGTCATCCTGTTGGTGCCTTCTGCGGTAATCCTAGCCTCCTACACCGCAGTGGGCCGCGCGGTCTGGGGTATGCACTCCCGCGCAGGCCGTCGAAAAGCGGCGAGCACCTGTGGCTCTCACTTGACTGCTGTCTGCCTATTCTATGGCTCCGCCACCTACACCTACCTGCAACCCACACATAGTTACAACCAGGGCCGTGGCAAGTTCGTCTCGCTCTTCTATACTGTGGTCACACCCGCGCTCAATCCCCTCATCTACACACTGCGGAATAAGGAGGTGAAGGGGGCAGCCCTGAGGTTCTTGCAGAGTCTGGGGAGGCTGCAGGTCGGACAGTGAGAGGACTCAGAAGGGCTCAGTGTCTGAGAACTAGGATGACCATATTGTTTGTATTTACATGAGAATATTCAAGTTTTGTCCTCGAGGAGTCCAGGGTTGGTAAAAGGGAGATAGATCCCTTTCTCTTACTGGATAGGGTTTGGATTCTTAAGGGAAAATCCCTGAAATAAATAAACATACAAATATAGTGATGGGGTAAATGGCTCTTAAGACTTTCTATAGAAGAGAAGCATGATGAAGGAGAGGGACATCCTCATCCTCAGGAGACTTGGTAACCACCCCTGAAGAATCCACATGGAGATAAGATGATGAGCACCCTGGTGCTGACCTTTAGTTTTCCCCGGGCTTACAAAAGACAGTGAAAAATTCTGTGGCCTCAGCCATCAGGTGGAGTCTATCAAGTTGCCAAGGAGTCCCCGTGCCCTGCTTCTAAAAACAGAATGTGGTTTCTTGGGTTTCTGTCTTCTTGGGAAGACAACCCAGCTAATACAGCACTAGCCAGATGACCAGTGTCTACCACAGAACATTCGATACATAAGACTTTGAGGAAAATCTGCAAGTATAGGAAGTTGTGCCAGGCCTGATTAATCTGGGAATGCTATCTGCAGGATATGGTCTTAAACTAATTTTAAAGAAGAGAAAGGACTAGACTTGGTGAAGATGAAGGCAGTCATGGTCAGACTGTGAGAAAAGCCTGCATGTGACCAGGAGTGAGACAGAGGAGCAAATAGAAGGAAGATGGAGGAAGGTATCTGATGGTGAAGAAGAACCTGAAGTTAACCCCTTCTCTCCCTCACCCAGAGATGAACATGTTGTTAAGTGATAGACCCAGCAAATGGAGAAGGTACTAGATTTTATTTCATACCAAATATCTTTAACTAAGAAGAGGGGATGATTAGTGAATGAAATTCTAAATCATTTATTAGACTGTGAGCCTGTTAGGGTAAAAAAAAAAAAAAGCATAACACATTACTTCTGTATAAGTAGAACTCAGTATGGTTCAATAATTTTTCATTGATCCACCTGACCCTAACTCCCTAGTCCTGAAATTAAGTGTGTACCACCACACCTGACTAACATTTCAGTTAATTCTGCTCTCAGTAACAATCCTGCCTCATAATGAACTACGTCAGAAACGAGTAATCACAGACTTGACAAATATTTTTAATCCACCCCATTCATCTCCAATCTTTGGAAATCATCAAAGGATGTAATTGGTAAGAGCTAAAAGCAGTGGGCTTTGATCCTCTTATCCCATCCACATAGTCATCCCCCAATGCAGTACCCTGTCAGAAAGAGCAAACTTCCCCTCCTGATGTTGTAGTCAGCCATGATCTTTCCATCTTCCAGCCTCTTTCCATTGCAAGTCACAATCTGAGTCTTGGGGGTGACACTGGTCAAACTCTCAATCATCTCTTTCACCTGGGCCACTGAGCTGGATCTTCGAACTTGGAGGAGGTGCCTTTGCCCTACGGAGGTTGCCTCCACCAGAAACAAGGGCAACTCTTCATCACTGGGCTTCACCACCTTCAGGGTGAGGTGGATGGTTGTTTCCTTGTCAATGCCATAAGATGACAGTGTTCTCTGGGGCTTGAGGATCTCCGGGCCTAGCAGAAGGGCCTGGTCCTGCACAGAAACCTTGGTTTTGGATCTGATATATTCGTTTATCTTCTTCACTTTGTCACTCTTAGTAGCATCAAAGGTCATTAATGGCCAATGCTCAGAAAGGACAATCTAAGCAAAGAAAGACAAGACAGTCACCTAGAATGCCTGCCACCCTTTACACCCTACCACTCACCTTCATTATTCTGTCTGCTTGGCCCTCCAGCTCCTACCCAACAATCTGCATCTCTCCCTCTCTCAAAACTTTTGTTTAATTGCCATATTATGACACAAATTAAAACATTAGTTTTGTTTATACACATATATATGTGATATATATATATATATTATCTCCAATGTTACTATCCACTTCCTACCTTATTAATTTGCCTCTCCTAAGCCAGATATCAAAAGTAAAGACAATACAGGGCTTCAAAAGATGTGCACAGATTCTTACACAACTCCAAAGCAGAGTTCCAAGATGTGGCAGCCTCATAGGATACTCTCAGTCATGCTTCATCCTCTTTGGCCAATTCAGAATTAACCCTTATTAAGGCCATAATCTCCACACTGTTACTTTCTTATTAATGCCCCATTAATTTATGTTAATGCTCAGGTTGTGGCGATTCTGTGTTTAATGTTTATATATTTTTGTATTTTTATAACTATTGTTATAAAGCATAATATCCTCATTGAATTAAACCAGGATTTCAATCCTGAAGATAGGAACTATATCTAAGTTTAATTTCATTTACTACAGAATTCTAGAAGATGGGGGAGAATCAGGTCTGCAAGCCCTAGGAAAACCTTCCCATACTTCGTTCAAAAACATCTTCCCAACCTAGATGTTTCAGATGGTCCTTCAGTGGAAGTTTCATCCTATGTTGGGCACTGTCCTGATTGCAGGTTCTCTTCATGAGGACATAGTCTCGTTTAAGGTAATGTGTTAGATCACTAATAACTTAAATGAGATTTGTGAAATTTTCCTTCAAAAAGAGAGAAAAGCTTAAGGTTGAGAACTCTGAAAATTATTTCTCTAATTTCACATCTTGCCATCCTTGTTGAAGCACAAATGCCCTGCCATTTCTCCCAAGTTTGGTTAGCAAAATGGCTTATCTGGTAAAAGTTCTTGCCACCAAGCCTCACCACCTGAGTTTATCCCTGTGACCTAGGTGGTGGAGGGACAGAACTGACTCCAGAAAATTATCTTCTGACCCTGATCCTGCATATTAATGCACACATACAATAAATACACAAATAAAATACCTTAAAAGTGTTGTAAGCCAAATGACCAACCTTTCTCCAGAGTACTTTCTTCCTGTTGTACAGTTATCAGTGTCTGTCTTGTCTCTTAAATAATGCCTACCCAAGCCCCTCACCATCCAGGCACTGTACCTTCCTGAATTGTGGAACTGTATTCCCAATGCATGGAAATACTTTCCCCTCAGACCCCAACTTACACAGGTGCAGGAGGCCATGTCTGTAACGAGAAGCTGAGTGAGAAAAGAGTCCTCGAGTCTGCTTATATGTGAGTATCTAGGTTGGAAATCCCCAAGACTGCTGTGTTGTCCAGTTTAGAAACAACCTTTGTTCTCAAGAATTTTCTTTCACTTTCAGTGAGGTGGAGTTAATAATGGACACTCTTTGTACAGACTTATTCCCTTAGCCTATTCATCTGTACTCCTAGTTCTGAACATAGAATAGCTCTTCTATGACAAGGGCTCCCAACCCTGGCCAGCCACTGACCTTGACTTTCATGGCCTTGATACTTCATGATACTTGGTAGCCTTCTCCCACTGCTTTTAACAGCTTCAGACCTCTCTAGAAGCAAGGACACCCAACTACTCATAACATATCCAGAGGGACAAATAGGATTGGTGCTGGCTGATTGGGTTGTCAGGAACCTTTTTCCCAATAACTGGGAAGAATTTATGTAACCCACCTGCATAAAACGCAGGAGAAATGAGCCTGTCCTTCCTTGTCATTGACTGTCTAGGAGCCAGTGTTTGCACAGTCACAGGCAGCAAGGACCCGGAACCAAAGCTGCCAGGAGAGCACATTGCCAGGTTTCCATTCTTGGTTTATTAGGAATAATTTTTGTTGTCTGATACTGCAGATCTGCAGGTCCAACTTCATCAATACATTTCCTCCATTTTCTTAAACACATGGCGCTCTGCCTTCCCCAGCCAATGAACATGCCTTTCTCTCCAACACTACACACAACACCATACATGTGTAAGAGCACACACAACACAGGCAGCATTGCCTCCAGGAGCCCCTACTCCTTCTATCAAGTTCTGGGTTATCCTCCCATACTTCCTACTAATGTTTTTTGAAGCCTATTTCTGTAGCAATAGGATCATCTGTTTGTCTATCATCCCCAGTGAGCCCTTGAAGACCATGATTGTACATACAACTTGTTATCGGGCACAGAAAGATGCTTAATAAATATATAGTGTAAATAAATTAGTAAACTAATAACAAAAAATAATATTTAGTGAGAATTTATATTTCAGATACTGCATAAGATTATTAAACATGATCTCATTTGCTGTTTTCATATTGTGGTGAAGTATTGGTATTTTTAGGGATAAACAAGACCAACCCACTAAAGTCATTCAAGTACTAGCTGGTCAGCAAGATTCCAGTGCACATCTTTGCTACTCTAATCCTTAGCTTCTAGTCATATTATTCTTGCCTCCAAAGGAAGGAAGAGCAGAGAAAACACCCACTGCAGTTGGGGGTTTCCAGACTGTGAAAGAGAGGACTTAGATTCTGAGAAACAATGCCTTTTCAAGTAACATAGACAATAAATCTGGACTCTGATTGCTTCTCTTTTTCTTCCTGTTCCCCACCTGCTCCACCACTCCCTTATCATCATCTGATTTCCTGGAATAGAACACAAGTTCAAGAAGACTACATGAAGAAGTATTTATAGATCTCAAACCAAGGAAAACTATAATACCAATAGCAGAACAAAAGGAGAAATATTCTGAAATGCAGGGTATGTTTACCTAACAGAAATTAAGCCGAATCTAAATGCTATGAGTTAGTTGAAGATATTAAAGAGGAAATAAGAGCCTACAAATCACACTGACATTTCTTCATCTTATCTTATTCAGAGTTAAGCTATTGTCATTAACCAAACATTGTTTTTAAAGCAGTTTATTCCTTAAGAGATATAAATAATGTACACTCAACTTTATTATAGGTAATATTATGATTTAAAATATTCTAAAGTTAAATTATCACAGCCTACATAACATTTTGAACCACATAGCTATGTAAATATACAAAACATAAAACTGTAAAAATATTCACTGCCTTGGCACATGATGTTGACTCTCTTTGCCCCCTGGACATACGGGTACAAGCTAGAAGACACACAGAGGCTGTGTGCAACTCAATGATAGAGTTCTTAATTAACATGTATGGTATAGAGGTCTGACCCCTCCATGAAAAAACAGAAAAAGAAAAAGCTACAGAGAGAATTAGGTGGATTCATTTCAGGAATTTCATTGTTTTTTTTTTTTAAGCTTCTTGGCTATTTTTATCCACTTTCATGTATTCTTATAAATAGGCAAAAACACTACCACTACATCCCCAGCCCTAGTCTTGCAAATAATTCTTATTACATTGACCATTTTAAAATATAGAAACAAAGCACATGAAAGAAGTAGCAGCACACCTTTAATCCCATCACTCCAGAAGTAAAGACAATAGATCTCTGTGAGTTCAGGGCCATCTGGTTTACATAGTAAGTTACAGGCTAGCCAGAATATACAGTAGTAAAACCTTGTCTAACAAAATTAAAAATAAATTTAGGGAAGGGTGGTGCAGAAATTGAGAGTGTGCACTGCTCTTTCAGAAGACCATACTAGGAGCCTATTGAAGAAATCCTGGACCAAAGCAAAACCAAAAACCAGCGAGGAAAACTCCAGGCTCTGCATCTCCACATCTGATGTCAAAACACTCTTCAGATCTCCAACTCCTTTCAGCTTTATTGATTGTAACACACTTCTTTCTCTTGGGTTGGTCCCACTCCCTGTTAGCAGCTTTCCACAGCAAGTATCCCACAGCTCTGGAATCTCTAACATCTCGGGGTATCCAAGGCAACCCAGGCTTCACCTTCACAGCTTCATGGAATGGCCTCTCTATGCCTCCATTCAGGTTCACTTCTGACACATGTCTGGCCTCAGCAACCTTTCTTAGTGTAAGACCCTCAGAATGAGGAGTCTCCCCATTTCATTAGGTTCTCCCAAGAATTCAATGCCTAGTCCAGTTGATGCAATACACAAGAGGCTTTAATGAATGGGAAACGTTTGCGCAAACGGGCCCCCTCAGCATGCTTGTGGGAGGGGCTATGACCCTCTGACCATCCAGTACGTCATAAGAGTCATGGGCTCTAGCATGCTCCTTATTGTTTTAGATGGTCTCACTGTTTAGGTCAGTAGGCCTCAGGGTGTGCTAATCAATCTTGCCTAAGCAAACGGAAGTTGCAGCTATCTCTGTTTCTCTAGGTCCCATCTGGAAATTCTTGGTATCCGGCTATCTTAGGGCCTTGTAAGAGAGAGGTTGCGGTGGTTAGCAAATTCCAAGAACTAAGTCACAGTGGCCTTAGTCAGCTTTCTGGGTCAGACTGCCCTGCATTCCAATTATTTGGGCTCCATTTCATTTCTTTGTTAGTTTAAGTCTTTCATTAGTAGCTCCTTGACATCAAAGTCAGAACCACACATGGCCAAAGCTACCAAGTTCTGCTGCTTGTTGGGGTTGGAACATGGCCCCCTTGTTCAATTACATCTTTACCAGCTTTCTGTTTTCAATGCTTTCCTTCACTATCTAAGCTTGGCTATTCTGGAACTTGCTCTGTAGACCAGGCTGACCTCAAACTCAGAGACTGACCAGTCTCTGCCTCCCAAGGACTGGGATTAAAGGCATATACCATCATACTCAGCTCTAAGTTTGTCTTTAATTCTTTTTCACAAGTTGGGAACTTAGTTGGGTGGGATGTTGCCCTGAAGTCACCACTCTCTTTATTTTATTTCTTAACCTGTTTCTCTCCTTGAACACAGGATTTAGCACCATTCCACTTCCTGGTGCTTCTTTTCTCCTCAAATTGCACATTTTGTATTTTTCCTTTCTCAGCTCACTCATTTTCATTATTAATCTTCTTAAGAGTCAATACTACTAAGTACAGGATAGAGTCTATACCAGCTGTTTTGAGATTTCTTATGCCAATGGAATTAATCCAAAACTCTTCACTTTAGCCTCAGGCAGACTCTTCAGACAAGGACAAAATGT